AGTAGTAGTAGAGAGAGAGAGAGAGAGAGAGAGAGAGAGAGAGAGAGAGAGAGAGAGAGAGAGAGAGAGAGAGAGAGAGAGAGAGAGAGAGAGAGAGAGAAGAGAGAGAGAGAGAGAGAGAGAGAGAGAGAAAGAAACTAGCATTTTTTAAAACTAGCATTTTTTAATAGATGTGAAAAAAAGATATACTTTTATTGGGAGAAAGGTTCAAGTAAACTCCAAGTAGAAAAATAAAATTAAGAAGATTATCATAAAAATGGTATTTCTTAGTTTCTCAAATCACAACTTGTCTCAAGACATGCCCATGGTATTGGACACTCATTGGTTATGTCATATTGGTTTCTAGGGGTGTCAACATGCATGTCAATGTCACCTAACTGTTGTCACATGATCAGACCCCCAGACACACGTGTCCTTGCTTAATAGAAAATATAGTATTCTTAAGACAAACCACCAAGTTTTCCAAGACAGTTTTCATGAATTAATTTCAAAACTGCTAATTCATAAAGTAACAATTCATGAGAAAGATTAGAGATCTCAACGCATACTGACGATCGACAACCATCCCTAGCCATTATAGGACAAGCATGGCATTAGCTGGGGATCATGACACTATCAGATTTTTGTTTCTATAATCATTCATTTATTGAAACAAATGAAGCATACATCAAGTTGAAAGAAAAGGCACTATAAAAAAAGACCGAATAGATTCAGAAGCATTCTGACTACCACAAAACCTAGAGAGGGATCCATACCATTTATCTTTGATATGGCCAAAACTATAAACAAATTCTTAATTCACTTCTCAACACCAGATATTACAGTTTCCCAAAGAGAATCAAGTTCCAATTACCTCAAAATCAATTCAATTGCATATTCAATACAATTACAATCGGCAAATATACAAATAATGAATGAAACCACCCTAAAGACAAATGCTAGCTTGCAACATAACAATAGCTCAATTGTCTAGCAATCATGACAAACACTCAGTTTCATATGCAGTAAAGGAGAATAAAAGTTCTATGCAATCATAAAAAGCAAAAATACTCTCAAGAGAAGATAACAAGCAAGAGAGAGAGAGAGAGAGAGAGAGAGAGAGAGGCTATACCTGAAGAAGAGTGAGCTGTGCAGAGAGGGTAGTGGCCTCAGTTTGAAGAGTTTGCACTTTCCTCTCAAGTTCACTCGTGTAGCGTATTTTCCGCTCCTTTGATCGTGCAGCAGATTGCCTGTTAGCTAGAATCCTACAAGAACAAAAGAAAAAGACCAAAACTTCAGTGTTCAAATTGCATTAACTACCCACCGACAAAAAATCATTTGACAGACATAACAAGAAAAATATAAAGCTAATAACACAGTTACTACAATCCAAATTCTATCAATTAAACATGAGAACATATAGATTAGTATCATTAGGGGAGAAAGAGAGAGAGGGAGAGAGAGAGCTCAGGCTATAGCTTGACCTTGACATGGGGTATTGTACAGAGCTATTTTTCAATGAAATTCCTTGAAGAAAATGCAAAAAGAATAATACTGTTAAAGAATAGGTACCGTTTTAACCCAGCTCAGAAAAATAAAAAAATCAAATTCGGAGATGCCAAGTTCAGCACCACTTCCATAGAGTCCAAACCAGTAGCAGAAAACTGAAGTACGCTAAAAATCAAAAAATAAATTGAAAATAAAAATGAATAGTAGAAGCAGTATAGAGAGAGAGAGAGAGAGAGACTCAACGACCGACCTCTTAGCCCTCTTAGGATCAATCAAAGAAAGCTCTGCAAGCTTATCAGGCCCCATAACCTTCTTACCTTCGCCATTATCCCCTAACTCCAGCCCAGAACCAGAAGAACTTACTCTCCTATGCCCACCCTTTCTCTCTCCTCCCCCTCCCTGTAACCCTAAGCTCTCTAGAAACGCAGCATCAACTGATAAACTCCTCATATGGCTCGAACCACTACTAAAATCCTTGGATTCCTTTACCCCTCCTCCATTGCCGGAATCCTCTGATTTTCCGGCCAAAATATCGCCGGAATTTGCCTCTTCAGAAAAAGAAGCAATATCAATTCCGGCAATTCCAAAATCGAGTTCTGAATCGAATAATACATCGTCAGGTAAACGAAAGGCGATATCAGAGTGAGCTCGACGATGAGAGCCACGAAGAGGGGTTTCCGGCATGTGGTCTATGTCTTCTTTGCTGAAATTTTGGCCGGAAAACCTGTTCCCGGCGTGTATGGGAAAGAAACTCGAGTCCATAAGTGGTTTCCGGGCACTTCGGGGCGGTTTCCCGGTGCTGAGAGTTGGAATTCCGTCGAAGAGTGAGGAAGGGGCATTTGGGAGTGGGGGGTATGGCTGTTGTTCGTGTGAGGATGGTCTTCATTATGGGAAAACTATCGGTAAAAAGAAAATAAACAATTTACTACAGTATGGTGTGGAAAATATTAAATAATTAGGAAAATAGTGGAAATGGGAATTTGGAATATTGATTTATTTCGGACTTATGGAAGATTAGTGAGTGCTTTCCCATTTGGACTTCCTAATTTGGGTTTAGGTGCTTGTTTGTTGCATAAAATCCACCTTTCAAATTTCGTTTGGGAGATTGATTTTTGGATAGAAGCTGGCACAACGATCGTTACTCTCGATAAAAGATAATTATATTGTTCTATGCACTAAAAAACTGGTGATTCGGATTGAGAATCGTTGATCTAGATCGAGAATTGGTTGCGACCAATTGGCTTTTGGGAAGGTATTGATCCGGGCCCCGACCCTGCCCCATAAAAAATTACCTTTTTATATGTATATTTTTTTCCTTTTTAAATGTCTCCCATAAGTCTTTATTTAAATATTTTTGATTAAATTTTTAATTCTTTTTGGATCTCTGATTCAAACTGATATAAATCAACCATTCGATAATATGATACAGTTATGTGTGGTGCATGATCCACCCTAGTGATTTTGGTGGGTTTTGAAATACTACTTCCATTCAATTATTAAAGGGTGTATTAGACATATGGAGTTTTTGGGAGTGGAAGGGACTCTCTCACAAATTATAGAAGATTGCTCTTCCATCATTTTTAACACTAAAATTGAAGCCATTTTAACACTAAAAAAAAATTGTATGGAAGGTCGCCCTTCCACTTTACCGCTTCCACACAATAATATCAAACATCGAAGTGCGACATTTAACTCCCACTTTCATAAACTTCCACTTATCAAACACGTCCAAAAGGTCATCATACTGCATTGGTTTTGGATATTGGAAGTCACGTCCAAAAGGTCATCATATGCATTGGTTTTGGATATTGGAAGTCTTGAATCTAGAGAAAACAATTTTATAGTGATTTGGGATTTATTTTGGATGGCCTTCGAAGAAAAGCAGGGTGGAAGCATGAAGAAACTAGCATAAAAAAGAAGTCAAAAGATTATGTTTCGAGGATTTCCTCTTATCACAAGGGGAAGGGCCTCGGTTGTGGTGCCCATTGAGACCTTCAAAAAGCCAACTCCTAATATATTTGAAAAAACATGTAGGGGTTTATCTTCTCTAATGAATTACCAAAAAAAAAAAAAATTGTAATCTTTTTTGCCCTCTTTGAGGGAGATAACTTGATCCACCTGGAGACTAGCAAAAAAGACGAGCTCTAATACGCAATTTATGTGGAATAGAGACAGTCCGATTTATACTCATTAACATCATCATCATCGTCAAAGCTTTTTTCCAACTAATTGGGTTGGCTACACAAATCGTTATTCGTCATTCTACTCTATTAAGAGTCATACCCGCAATGATGTCATAAGTCCTCATATCTTTTCTCACTATTTCTAACCATATCTTTTTGGGCCTACCATTTGCCTTTTTTTAACCTTTCACTTGAATTAACTCGTACCTCTTAACAGGTATTGTATTGGGTCTGTGCCATACACGACAGCCCATCTAAGTCTATCATCTCTCATCTATCGCTTATTGGTGCCACATCTAAATTTTTTCGTATGTATTCATTTCAAATTCTATTCTTTTTTGTCTTGTCATTCATCCATCTCAACATTCTCACCTCTGCCACACTAATTCTATGAGTATATTATTTTACATCCAATATTCTGCCCTATAGAGTGACACTGGTCTCACAGTTGTCCTATAGAATATGCTCTTAAGCTTCATTGATATGCAGTGATCACATAAAATTTCATTTGCACATCTCCACTTTGCCTACCCAGCTCAAATTCTATGCGCGACATCTTTCCTCAATCTCTTCAATTTCTTGGATTATTGACCCAATATATCGAAAGTTCTCTCTTTTGGTATTTCCTGACTATCAATCTTAACTACTTCATCATCTCTACTTCTAGAATTACTAAACTTGTATTCCATATACTCTGTATTAGCCCAGCTAATTTTAAAACATTTAGATTCAAGAGCATCCCTCAAAAGTTCTAACGTTGTATTAACGTTGTTTCGTTCTTATTAATCAAAACTATATCATTTGCTAACAATATGCGCCACAATACCTCATCTGGTAGGTGCTTAGTTAAGTCGTCCATAACTAAGGCAAAGAGGTATGGATTCAATGCTAACCCCCAAATGTAGATCTATTGTTACTGAAAACTCACTCGTCTCTCTACTAATTGTCCATACATTACTTAGTGCTCCATCATTCATATATCTCAGCAAATCGATATAGTGTCTTGAGATTTATTTCTTTTTCAACACCCATCATATCAAATCTCGAGGTACCATCATAGGTTTTCTCTAGATCAATTCTATACTATATATAAGAGCTTAAAATTCAAATCTCCTTTATTTTAAATATCATCTAGTGATTTTTTGGTGGAGTTTAGACAAAAAAAAAACCTTCCTAAAAGAGTAAATGGACACTATGTCCGACAATTGGAAGAAGAAAATGATATGTACGGATTTTTGTCTCCTCATAAGTGAGAAATCCCATAAACCTATTGGGGGATACTTAACTATGTCAACTGTTGCGATGTTAAAATATATCTTAGTTTTACGTTGGTTGCTTTCAAAATGATGAACTTCCTCTTGCCGTTTCATTTTTTTAAGGAAAAAGTTTATATAAGTGCGAGGCTTCAAATGATCAAATTAGGGCATACCCAAAAAATTTTATTGGAAGAGGCTGTTTTGATACTCAAATATCTTTAAATTGATCATCTCGACCTCAAGATGAATGAATATAAGAAAAAAATGGATTTCAAGTTTTTGAAATGATGCATCTTGTAATGCATTTTTTGACTGTCAACTTCCAAGTTTTCATAGATCTGCTCGATGATCTACACTATTTTTAAAAGCTTTAAATTTTATAATTACAGATGAAAATATATTTTAAGGCTATCACAAAGATTTTCAATATTGAAATCATATTTTTCGACACTAATTGAATAAGCGTTTTACTTTGATTGTTTAGAGCCTCAGCCTTATACAAACCACACCATTTATTTTAAATGCACTTTTAGGTAGGGAAATGATTGGTGGCTATGCGGACCAAATTATATAATTTGTTCCTACAGTCAAAACCTTACTTGATTATGCATAAGCCTTTTTTACTCGTCTCTATTCATTCAACTCCAAGATCAGTTACCAAGAAAAAAACATTTGAAGCTCGCACTGAGTTATAAATCACTCTCCCTTCAAGATTGACTCGACACCACCTCTTTATTGAACATTGATTTTATGACCTCAAATTCAATTTTCCTTTTGTTCAAAATTGAATACAAGGTGGGGCAAAATACTATTTCAAAGTTTGGAGATTGCAAAGTTCATCTTACATGGACTATGAACTTGGGACTAAATGTACAATTGGTTCCCGCAGCACCACCATATACAGCAGTATTTCACCAAACTATCAATATTTTCATGAAAAACTTATAAAAAGCCTCTCCATCATTTAATTTGGAACAAAGTTAGGTGCAAACATATTCAAATCCAACCTAATCCCAGATATTGGGACCATCCAATATTTGACTTACCACTCACTTTTGAAATAAACTTAAGAAAATAATTTCCATTTTTTCACAAGTTAGGCAACTTTTCTTTTATGAAAAGTAGTCTATGAGGCAGGGGGATGCATTTCTACATTTGTCTGCTCCATGGTATCAAACATCCATCTTAAGATGGATGTAAAGGTGCGCTCCCTCTTAAATGAATAGAATCTAACGGTTCAAAATTTTTCTCCAAAAAATTGTCTTTTATAGTTTTATTTTATTTTATTTCATTTTACGTATTAATGATTATTAGAGATTACACATTCTAAAAAGTCAGGTGCATAACCCATCTTAAAAATTGATCAAAAAGACGGCCTGCATATCTATATATGAGTCCTATGAAACCTCATCTTCTTCTTTTTTTTAAGAAACATTTTCCGTATAACCAAAACCGATTTTAATATGATAGATTTGGATCATTTACATTTTGCACGGCCAAATGAAGCATCCTAAAGTATTGTCTTTCTCATAGTCCAACTGGTTACCCAACAATGGCTCTAATTTATAAACTCAAAGCACAAAGTTTTAAGCCCAAAAACATTTTCAAGCCGAACTTTATGAATTTCAAACAAGACTTACGATATTGAATTCAAGAATGGTTGGGGTTTCATTTCTCATAATTTTGACATTTTAATATGGAATATTAAATTATATAGTTAGAAATTCGGAGCAATGGTCTAGAATCTAAATGTTTTAAAATTTGCCACACGAAAACATAGTATTCGTAATGCAAGTTTAGTAATAATAAGAGTAGAGACGAGGAAATAGTTAACATTGATGCCCAATAAATATTAATAGAGCACACTTTTGATATCTTGGGTCAATTCTTTAATAATATAGAGAGATTGAGGAAAATACTATCGGATTTGATGCTATCCAAAATCACTCACACAAAGAAATCTCATATTATGTGGGATTGAGATATTCCTATATTATGTGGAATTGAAATTAAAAGTGATATTGATAAGTTTCTTAAAAGAAATAGAAATCCAATAGAATTTAGACTCTTGCATATATCTCTTGATCTTTTGAGATATATGTAACATTAATAAGAAGTTGCCTATTTAGTATGGATTCCTAATCTTATATATATGGGATGAAAGTGCAGAGAATTTGTGTACCCTATTTGGGTCACCATATGAGAATGGTGTAGAGAGAGGGGGGCATTGCCTTTTCTGCATAAGATGTAAGATTTCCTCTTAAAGAGAAGAGGGCTTCGCAACAATGAGGGCTTTGACAAGACATGGCTACCGCTAGCTTGCATAGCAGAGGCTTCAACTTCCAATAGTTTAGAGGGCTTTGTTTGCTTGTTGCTATCACTAGTGTAGCACAGGTATAAAATCCCTAGGAGCGAGTGCTTTGATGTGTA